AAAAAATAATAATAATGTCCCCAAACCCAAGTATTGTAAGAACCCATACCTTTGATCTGTATTGTAAAAACCTATACCTTTGGTCTGTATTGTAAGAACCTATACCTTTGATCTTGTGTGAATGTTTGTGTTCCAGGAACTAGCTGACCACAAGCTGAAGAAACAATTACTGGCAAAAACCATATTTTAACTAACGTCAGCAGCAGGCACCGCACCTAAAATTGAACTTCTCCTTTTCCAAAGAGCCAATGAGCTATCTCTATGCCAAAGAACCCCTAGACCTAGTATAAATTCCCTTGCTTTTGGGGGCTCGGGGTCGACTTCCCTATCTCCTGTGTGAGATACAAGTCATCCCAAAACTTCGTCAATAAAGCCTCTTGTGTTTACAGCAAGTGGACCTGGTGTGAGTTGCTCAGGGTCGTGCCCGGTCTGGGTAAAGCCCTAGTCTAGGGTCTTTCAGTTGTTGTGTAACATTGAGTCAACATTGACCCATACCTGACCCTCAGGTGGGTTTTCAGAGGCAGTTGATCACATGGGAAGAGATTGCCCATCCTTCTCCTATGGAGCAGCTGGACTCGAACTGCATGCATCTGTGATTACAGTACATCTTGGTGCCAATAGGCCACCATTGCTCCAGTAGCTATATACTTAATTATTTATGTTACTCCTAGGTACATGCAGATTTTAATTTCCAAGTATCATTATTTCAGGTTAATGGCATAGTGTATTATGATTACTAGGGAGCTCTGGTGGTCTAGTTGTAAGAAGCTGTGCTGCAATCCTGAAGGCATGAAGTTTGAATCCCACCAGCTGCTCCACGAGAGAAGGATGGGCAATCTCCTCCCCTATGATTAACAGCCTCTAAAAACCCAACAGAGGGTCAGCTATGGGTTGGTTCCAACTTGACAGAACACAACAACAATAACATTATTATTATTATTATTATATTAGTACCTTAAGTTCTTCAGTGATTCCATGAACATTTTATTTGGAGAGGGGGAAAAGATGCTATGAGTTGGCCACTGTCTGTCTCTCTGTTCCTATTACAATATAAATGTACATGTTGGACTAATTAAACTTTCACGTTGGCTCTAAACTCCAGTCCTAATAAACCCTTCAGAGTTCTGTGAATCATATGTAAGATCTCTTTACCTCCAGGCCTAGACATTAGTTAGTCCAAAAAGTTCCTTTCTGGAGTCACTTGTTAGAAAGACACACAGGTTGCAATATCCAAAACACTTTATTGCAGATCTGGGAAAGCAGAAAGAATTCTCTAAAAATCTGACTCCTCCTCTGAGGATAGTTATTGATTTTATACTAGGTTAAGTATTAATATACTTCATATATTACTATTGCTAGTTCAAAGGTACATTCAAAAACTATTTTACATACAGTTACTAGTAAACAAACAACTTAAGGTACATAGTTTACATATGGCTGAGAAAAATACAGCTTCAAAAGACAAATCCTTGTTCAGGAAAGATGTATTTCCATTCCCAGTAAACAGACAGTTAATGATATTCTGCATGACTTAGAGGAGTTAAAATGTGGTCTAGGGACAAAACAAATGTTAATTAAAGGGCTCAACCAGTCTGCAAGCTGGAAATGTGGGGTATCTAGGTTTTTGTTTGGTTTGGGTTTTTTCCTTTCAAGTTAATCAGCTTAGCTTTAATCTTTTACAATTTTTATATGATAATTTTAACGAAAGTTTTCAGAAAAGTTGGATTTTTCATTTATTCATCGTTGCACATTTTCCTCCCTATCCCTCTCTCCGTTTAAAAAAAAATTTTAAAAATCACCCATTGTTGCATAATTTCCTCCCTCCCCTACCCTACTACCCCTCACCCAGTCCACTTTGCTATGCACCTCTTCTTCTGGACAGTTGTTATACAAATAATATCTAATCATAGATTCCTTTTAAACACTTCTTTCCTTCATCTGTTTCAACATGTTGTTGTTGTTGTTGTTATGTGCCGTCGAGTCGTTTTTGACTCATAGCGACCCTATGCACAACAGCCCTAAACCCTGCTCTATCCTGCACCAACCGCACTGCCTCTGACACACCCATCCCGACTACCCCAGTCACCGAATCAATCCATCTCATAGAGGGTCTTCCCCTCCTGCGCTGTCCCTCCACCCTCCCAAGCATGATGTCCCTCTCCAAGGACCCATCCCTCCTGGCAACATGTCCAAAGTATGTCAGACGAAGCCCCAGAATCCTTGCCTCCAAGGAGTAGCTTGGTTTAATCCTCTCCAAGATGAATCTGTTTGTTTTCCTGGCAGTCCATGGTACATTCAGTACTCTTCTCCAGCACCATGGCTCAAAAGCATCCACTCTTCTTCTGTCCTCCCTAGTCATTGTCCAACTCTCTGATGCATAACAAGCGATTGCAAATACCATGGCCTGTATCAGGCACACCTTAGTCTCCAGAAAGACACCGTTGCTCCTGAGTACTTTAGAGAGGTCCCTAACAGCAGACTTTCCCATCGCCATATGCTTTTTTATTTCCTGACTGCTGGTGCCAAGAGAGTTGACTGTGGAGCCAAGCAAACTGAAGCTGTGAACAATCTCAATTTCTTTGCCATCCATCTTGACGCTGCCAATTGGTCCAGTGGTGAGAATCCCCTCTTTTTTCAGTTTCCCCTCCAACTCCCTTGTCAGTCCTGTTTTATAACTGTGGCATTATTTCATTCAGCATATTGTCCTTCAGGATCACTTATGTCGTGTAATATTTTATGAGTTCCTTGTTTTTCAGTACTGTGTAGTTTTCCATTGTGTGAATATACCATAGTTTTTCAATCCATTCATTTGTTGATGGGCACTTGGGTGGTTTCCATCTATTTGCTATTGTGAATAACTCAGCAATAAACATAGTAGTGCACATATCTCTTTGGGTGGCAGATGTGGTGTTTGTTGCGATTTTCCCTCAGTTTGATTGACGTCTAATCAGAATTCTACCTCTAATACTATAACTATCCATGTTCCTCTGTTGTTCATAGGGTTTTCAGAGGTCTGCGATTGGCACAGGATAGAGCAGGGTTTAGGGCTGTTGTACATAGGGTGCTACGAGATGCAAATGACTCGACGGCACATAACAACAACAGCAACAACAACAACAACATTGGCTCAACAAAAGAGACCCTCCAGCGGCTGTCAAATTTGAACTCCATGCCTTTAGGGTTGATAACACTGTAGTCCTGAATCCAAGTGATCAGTGATTCATTCATTCAGGGTGTTCGGTTATATTTAAGAAATTTACATAATTTTGCCCCCTGTTAACTTTATTAAATGCATGAGTATACTTGCAGCACTTATCTCGTCATTTTATTGAACTTGTATTCTTTGTTCGGTGCCCACACAAAGACCAGTACCAATGATAGCATAGCAACTGGCATTCAAAAAATTCACTGAACACCTACCGTTTCCAATATCCTTTTATTATACTAGTAGATCTCATTTAACATTCATTCCTTGCGTTTTAAATTTCCAAACTGGGTCTTTCTCATTGCTATAGTACTCTAATCCACAAACAAAAGCTCTGAAAATTTAACCTTCAGACGCAGTGACTGTGAAGGTGCCTTTCCCTCAACTCCATTAATGATCCTGGAATTTAGGAAGGTAAAAAATTGGGACAGCCTCTTGAGTTGGGAATTTTTCACAGGGCTCAGAAGTGCACAGAGATAATTCACCTTCCTAGCCGAGACATTTGGTAATGAACATGCAGCTATGGTTCATTCCCATCCCCGGCGTGCCTAAGACTCCGCCCCGCTAACCCGAAGCGGGCGGGGCTGGCGCGGCGTCTAGACAGGCCTGTCAGTCACGGCGGTGGCGCCCTACGCCGGCGCGCCGCCCACGCTCCCGTCCAGCCTCGGGCGCGGGCGACGGAAAGGGCGGGCCCGCGCGCCCGCCTCCGCGCGCTCTTGCTGCCCGACTCCACTGCCGGGGCCCGGGAGTGACCCGTTTCGGGCGCGTACGCCATGCGCGCGCCCGGGCCCGTGACCGCTTCGGAGATGGACTGCGGATCCGACGCAGGCGAGAGACCGCAGCGCCTGCTCTGCCACCGGCGACTTCTGTTCTTCCTCCCCGCGAGCCAGTGCGGGGGTCCAGGTGGCCACTGCGCCTCGGGGCGCGGCTTCTCGGCGATCGCCGGCGGTCTGGGGGCGCTGCAGCCCCGCGCCCCGGCTGTCCGCGGCGGCGGGTCACGTGCCTCCCCGCTGCTCCTCCTCCTTCTCGTCCCCTCCCCGCGCCTGACAGCCGCGCCGCGCCGCTCGCTGCAGGAATGGGAGCGCTCGCGCCCCCGGCCGCCCCTGGCTCGGCCCAGCGATGCACGGAAAGGGCCCCCGGGCGCCGCGTGTTTCCCCGGCGCGGGGCAGCTGTGCCACGCCCCGGCCGCAGCCCTCGGGTCCTCGAGAGGTGAGGGGGCAAGGTCGGAACGGAGAGAAGAGCAGAGGGTCGCCTCGCGGGGCGGAGCATTGGACCAGAAAGGAGATATGACCTCCGGGAGGGCGACGCAGAGCTCGGGTCAGGCGAGGACACCCGACCTCCTCCCGGGACGTGGGACCGAAGGTCTTGCCCCGCCCGCCCTTCCCATCTGAGGTGCCTTGCACTCTGTCTGCCTGAGAAATTCCTAATTACACGGAAACCCAGGCACTAAGTGACTGTTGGAGGCGTGGCCGCGCGGTGGGTCAGGCATGGTACACGCCTAGCAGCCTGTTGGCAGCTTTGCCGAAGTGGATGTTGGAATGATGGGTGTGCACATTTGCAAGTTCGAAAAGTGAAACTCTGGGAAATGGAGAGGTTTCAGTTTTGGTTTGCAATTTAATTTCCAAACAGCTTCATCATTTCATTAGCAGCAAGGGACTATGTACTTGGCACTTGGCTAAGCTTTCAGAATGTCTTAGCAACCTATTCCCTTGTGGAATTAGCACAGAAGAGTAAGCATACTTATTTATGTGTTAAATTATGTTATATATGCTATATGTATGCTGTACTTTGTATAATCTTTGTAAGGACGCTCTTGGCATATCCATCGAGAGTTGCACCTCTTACCCAAAGACAGCTCCACTCTGGCGGTTCAGATCCATTAACCTCTACAGAAAAGTATACTGGTTGATCTCCTATGAGTTGGTTACAACCCTACTGCAGTGAGGTCTTTTTTAAAATCTATGTATGCCTGCATGATTGATTTGCAATTACACATATAAGAGAATATAGTAAGCATACACAATGTCTAATTGTGTATAAGATAGTATAGTGAAGACTTTAGAGAAATTTAAAGGGATAAAGACAGGAAAGAGTCCCTGGATGTTGCCCATTTTAATACTAGCCTGTTAACCTGAAGATTGAGGTCTCAGGTTTATCCAGAGGTGCTTTGCCAGAAAGACCTTTGTGATCTCATTTTCTCATTTAAAAATAAAAATCGGCCATTAAATTTCCCATATGTCAAGATTATCTTGGGACACAGATCATAGCTGGTTTTGGGGTTTTTTTTGTTTTGGTGGGTTTGCTTTTTGGGTGTTTTTTTTATTTTAATTTTTTTATTGTTTGCGGGTTAGGAAGTGGAGTGAGTTAGTCTATGGTTGTGAATTCATGTAGAGTGATTAGTATAGTTTTTGTTGAGAAGGTGACATTTAATTGAAGGCCTCAGGCAGCGCTAGCAGAGGAGTCCATAGCTAGTGGTACTGCGAACTTAAAGCCCAAGCTCTAATGAGTGGAATACACTGGAGAAGGATGGGCAGTCGACTCCCATGTGATTTATAGCCTTAAAAACCCAATGGACAGTCAGATCTGAGAAATAATTTAAAAATTTTTTATTAATTTTTTTAAGAAAATTAATTTATCAGTTCCAGCTGTTTATCTTTTGGTTAGCAGCTGACTGTTTAACCCTTGCATCACCAGAGATTCTTGTGACAGTATAAACAATTTACTGGTTTAAAAACCTGGTAGAAGTATCATCATTTTTATCAATCTTTCCTAATTGGCAAATTATTCATTTAAGTACTCTATAGCCGTTTGTCAGTAGCTATCAGTAACTACACATTTTTCAGAGTTTTAAGAATTTTTATTGTCATAAAATAAGTATTATCTAATACAGAAGATTTCAAAGGGCAGCACAGGAAGACAAGAGTAAAGCAGTATAATGAAATGTCCAAAAAGCTGGAGTCAGAAAATCAAAGGGGCTGAACACGCTCAGCATTTATTAAGCTGAAGGAACTGAAAAACAAATTCAAGCCTCAGGTTGTAATACTTAAGGATGCTTTATGCAGACTAGTAAATGATCCAGGAAGCATTAAAAGAAGATGGAAAGAGTATACAGAGTCATTGTACCAAAAGGAATTGGTGGACACAGAATTTCATGAAATAATGTATGAGCAAGAGCCTGTGGTGAGGAAGGAAAAAGTTCAAGTTGCTCTGAAAGAATTGACCCAGGAAGCATACCAATTGACATATTTTAACAGACACTACCCTGAATGTGCTCACCAAGTTGTGCCAAGAAATCTGGAGGACAACCTCATGGCTAACTGGAAGAGATCATTATTTGTTCCCATTCCAAAGAAAGGTGATCTGACAGCAGAAATTACAGAAGAACATAATTAATACCACATGCAAACAAGATTCTGCTGAAATTATCCAAAAACAACAGGAATAGCACGTCGGCAGAGAATTTCCAGAAGTGCAGGCTGGGTTTAGAAGAGGCCATGGTACTAGGGATATTATAGCCAAAGTTAGATGGATCTTGGCTGAAAGCAGGCAGTACCAGAGGAATGTCTATCTGGGTTTTATTGACTATGCAAAAGCGTTTGACTGTGTGGATCACAACAAACTGTGGCTAACTGAGAAGAGTGGGAATCCCAGAACACTTGATCATGCTTATGCAAAAACTATACTTGGACCAAGAGGCAGTTGTCAGAACAATGCAAGGAAACACTACATGGTTCAAAATTGGGAGGGCTGTACACCAGGGATATGTCCTATCTCCATACCTTTTCAATCTATATGCAGAACAGATTATCCGGGAGGTTGGGCTGTATGGGGAGAAATGTAGCATCAGAACTGGAGGAAGACTCATCAGTAGCCTGCATTATGCAAATGATACAACCTTGCTTGCTGAAACTGAAGAAGACCTGAAGCACTGCAGAGGGTCAAGGTCTGGCAGCCTTCAATATGGATTGAAGCTCAACATCAAGAAAACAAAGATCCAGGCCATGTTGTTGTTGTTGTTGTTATGTGCCGTCAAGATGCTTGAGACTCAGTGACCCTATGTATAAGAGCCCTAAATGGTGATTTATCCTGTGCTAACCTCACTATCTCTGACACACCTACTCCCATTACCCCAATAACTTAATCGATCCATCTCATTGAGGGTCTTTCTCTCTTGCACTGTCTCTCCCATCTCCCAAACATGAGGACCCTCTCCAAGGACTAGTCCCTCCTTGCAGTATGCCCAGAGTATGTCAAGACGAAGCTTCAAAATCGTTGCCTCCAACGAGCAGCCCAGTTTCAACCTCTCCTAGACAAACATGTTTGTTCTCTGAGCAGTCCATGGTATATTCAACACTTTTTTCCAGCACCACAGCTCAAAGGCGTCAGTTCTCTTTCTGTCATCCCTAGTCATTGTCCGGCTCTCTGAAACATAGTAAGCTATTGTGAAGACCATGGCCCATATCAGGCACACCTTAGTCTCCAGCCTGACATCATTGTTCTTCAGTACTCTGGAGAGGTCCCTGACAGCTGACTTTCCCAGTGTAATTCATCTCTTGAATTCCTGGCTGCTGGTACTAAGAATGTATACAGTGGAGCTAAGCAAACTAAAACTGTTAACTAACTCAGTCTCTTCACCATTCATACTGATGCTGCCAAATTGGCCCAGTGGTGAGAATCCTCAACAGTCCTCCGAAGTTTCAGCAGGTAGGGTTGTGTCATCTACACAACGCAGTACCAATCCTGATGTCACATTTCTCCACGTACAGCCCAGGGTCTCGGATGATCTGTTCTGCATAGAGATTGGAAAAGGTATGGAGACAGAATACATCCTTGGGAGACACCCTTCCCGATTTTGCACCATGCAGTGTCTGTCTCCTTGCTCTGTTCTGATGACTAGCTCTTGTTTCAAGTATAGGTTTCACATAAGCACAGTCAAATGTTCTGGGATTCCCATTCTTCTCAAAGTCAGCCATAGCTTGTTCAATTCACACAGTCAAAAGCCTTTGCGTAGTAAATGAAACACAGATATACATTCCTCTGGTACTCTCTTCTTTCTGCCAGATCTATCTACCCTTCGCGATAATATCCCTAATATCATGGCCTTTTCTAAACCCAGCCTGCACATCTGGCAGTTCTCTGTTGACATGTTGTTCCAGTTGCTTTTGGATAATTTTCAGCAGGATCTTGCTTGCGTATGATATAATGATATTCTTTGATAATTTCCGCACTTTGTCGGTCACCTTTTTTTGGAATGGGAACAAATATTGATCTCTTCCAGTCAGTTGGCCAGTTGGCTGTCCTCCAGATTTCTTGGCACAAGTTAGCACATCTAGGGCAGCATCTGTTTGTTGAAATATGTCGATTGGTATGCTGTCAACTCCTGGAGCCTTGTTTTATTACCAGTTCTTTCATAGCAATTTGAACTTCCTCATTCATCACCGTAGGTTCTTGCTTATCCATTATTTCATGAAATTCTTCTGTCAGCCAGTTCCTTCTGGTATAGTGACTTTGAATACTCCTTCTATTTTCTTTTAATGGTTTTTGGATCATTTAACACAAAACTTCTTTAAATATTGCTACTCGTGGCTTGAATTGATCAGTCTTAGCAATTACTTGGTATGCATAATAGAGCTCGACAATGACTAGGGATGAAAGAAGGAGAATTGATGCTTTTGAGCTGTGATGCTGGAGAAAAGTATTGAATATACCATGGACTGCTAGGAGAACAAACAGGTTCATCCTAGAAAGGATGATACCAGGCTGCTCCTTGGAGGCAAGGATTCTGAGGCTTCGCCTAACATACTTTGGACATGTTGCAAGGAGGGGCCAGTCCTTGGAGAAGGACGTCATGTTTGAGATGTTGGAGGGACAGCACAAGAGAGGAAGACCCTCCATGAGATGGATTGATTCAGTGACTGGGTATATTGGATGTAGCAAAGTCAGAGACTAATGGGATTGACACAGGATAGAGCAGGATTTAGGGCTGTTGTACATAGGGTCACTATGGGTCACAGGTGACTCAACAGCATATAACAACAACAATACTAAAATTAAGAAAACCATCAGCTAGGGAAGAAGTTGGTAGTAGGGCAGCACAGTGAATTCCCAAAAAGCCAATCCCAATTCCCTCAGTTGTTTCTGCCTTGTAACAACTCTATAGGATAGAGTAGAACTGCCCATAGGGTTACCAAGGTTGTAAGTGTTTATAG